GAATGCCGCTTCTAAGACGGCTGTGTTCTAAGGTCCTTTTTAAAACGCTCATGATTCTCAGCTGTCAGGGAGATTATTTTTAAAGGGCCAGTTCCTATCATTCGGATGTAAACATATCACATAATAAGGAAGATTGTCTGGTATAGCTATATCAGAATGATAGGAGTTGGCCCTTTTTAAAAAAAGCATGGGGGTGTGTGTGTGTCCAAGGGCTCCTGGGGAAACCATGGGGCAAGCCCGATGCGGATTTGGGCCTCACAGCAATTTTTATAGGACTACAAATGCTTCTAAAATGGCAGCGGCCTCTCCTGTGGCCACCGCTGCCGTTCTAGAAGCAAACCACCATTTGTGGTTTGCTCTAAATTATTCTCTGATCAAAGAGTGGAAAGCTGCTAGGTAAAAGGTGGTGGATCCTGATTAAGAGGGAACTTGGAACCGAAAAGGCCCCAGGTTGGGTGATCAGGGGGCAGTGAAGCAGCTGTACACGTCTTTGTATGGGGCGCAGATGGGTCATACAGGAGCCTGTTGGATAGGCTCGCCAAGACCTGCCTGGGAAATACATGGAGATTTGGGGGCGGAGCCTGAGGAGTGAAGTGATGCTCTGTTTTCTTGGTGCCTGGGGGGGGGGGTCAACAGTGGGAGGGCTTCTAATGTCCTGGCCCCACTGCTGGACCTCCTGAGGGCACCTGGTATTTTTTGGCCACTGTGTGATGGAGTGTTGGACTGGATGGGCCACTGGTCTGATCCAACATGGCTTCTCTTATGTTCTTATGTCTGGGGCAGTGATGCTCTGTCTTCTTGGTGCTGGGGGGGCAAAAATGGGAGGGCTTCTGGAGTTCTGGGCCCCGCTGGTGGAACTCCGGATGGCCCCTGGGTTTTGGCCACTGTGTGACACAGAGTGTTGGACTGGATGGGCCTTTGGCCTGTTCCAACATTGGTGTCTCTTATGTTCTTATGAGGGCGGGGTTAGGGAAAGGGAGGGGTCTCAGCAGGGTACAAGACCACAGAGTCCACCCTCCAAAGCAGCCATTTTCTCCAGGGGAACTGATCTCTGATTCCAGGAGATCTCTAGCCTCACTGGAGGTGGACAACCCTCCTGTTGGAGGTGTGGACTAACGACATCAAGCTTGGCACGCTGGGTCTATGTGTGCAAGCCATCCTTCAGTCTTCAAGCTCTTCACTGGCCAAGGGAGGACAAAGAACCAAGTCATTATCTCTTCTCCTTCAGGACTAGCACCTCTGTGTGACACAGAGCGTTGGACTGGATGGGCCACTGGCCTGATCCAACTTGGCGTCTCCTATGCTCTTATGTCTGGGGCAGCGATGCTCTGTATTTTTGGCGCTTGGGGGGTAACAGTGGGAGGACTTTTGGAGTTCTGGCTTCGTTAGTGAACCTCCCGATGGCCCCTGGGTTTTGGCCACTGTGTGACACAGAGCGTTGGGCTGAATGGGCCATTGGCCGAATCCATCATGGCTTCTTTTAAGTTCTTATGTCTGGGGCAGTGATGCTCTGTATTTTTTGTGCTGGGGGGGCAAGAGTGGGAGGGCTTCTGGAGTTCTGGCTCCACTGATGGACCTCGTGATGGCACCTGGGTTTTGGCCACTGTGTGACACAGACCATTGGACTGGATGGGCCACTGGCCTGATCCAACATGGCTTCTCTTATGTTCTTATGTCTGCAGCAGTGATGCTCTGTATTCTTGGTGCTGGGGGGGCAAGAGTGGGAGGGCTTCTGTTGTTCTGGCTCCACTGATGGACCTCGTGATGGCACCTGGGTTTTGGCCACTGTGTGACACAGAGCGTTGGACTGGATGGGCCACTGGCCTGATCCAACATGGCATCTTTTATGTTGTTATGAGGGGATTCGATAAACATATGGAGCAAAGCACCATGAGTAGCTATTAGCCACAAGGTATAGATGGGACACTGTGTTCTTGGTGCTTGGGGGGGCAACATTGGGAGGGCTTCTGGAGTTCTGGCCCCGCTGGTGGGCCTCCTGATGGCCCCTGGGTCTTGGCCTCTGTGTGACACGGAGTGTTGGACTGGATGGGCCACTGGCCTGGTCCAACATGGTCCAACCTGGCTTCTCTCGTGTTCTTACAAGAGCAAATGCCATCTGGTTAATGTCTTGCTTCTCATAACCCTCTAGCATGGCTTTGGGAATCTGGAAGGAGAGCATTGGCTGGGCCTGGATCACACCCACTGGCTGACCCGACAGGGCTCTTACGTGCTGCGAGTGCTTCTGGAAGACTGGAACGGGCGACAGGCCCAGGCGAGTTACGACACTTTTGCCCTGGCGCCCGAGAATGATTTCTACCGGCTGCGTCTGGGGCGCTACCAGGGCAGCGCCGGCGACTCCCTCTCCTGGCACAACGGGCGACAGTTCAGCACGCTTGACCGTGACCACGACGCTTACTCCGGTAAGGGGACGCAGAAGAGCTGGAAGAGAGAGATAGGAGGGAAGGAACACAAAGAGATAGACAGCAGGCATTTCTTAATTACATTTCCCCCCTCACCATTTCCTCTCTCCCCTTTTGTCCTCACTAGAATCCCATGAGGTACTTTGGTCCAAGATAGGATGACTGTCCCAAGGTCACCCTGCAAGGGTTGTAACTTTGTGGGGATTCGAACCCG